AGACTAAGTCATTAGTGAGACCCAGTCATTAGTGAGAGACTAAGTCAACAATAAGAGACTAAGTCATTAGTGAGATTCTAAGTCATTAGTCAGACCCAGTCATTAGTGAGAGACTAAGTCGTTAATAAGAGACTAAGTCATTAGTGAGAGACAAAGTCATTAGTGAGAGACTAAGTCATTAGTGAGACTCTAGGCTGAGCTTTTTTTTTTTTTTTTTTTTACTTTATTTTTAAAGTTGTGCATTTTTTCTAAACATATGTAGTGTCTCATGTATGAAAAGAAAAGATGCCAAAAATGTATGATGTGAATGACTCTGCTACAACCTCATCTAATTTTAGCTCAATGTTTATTAAACTGACCAAGTTAGACATTTTCTTCAACTAACTGTTGTCATCTTGAATTAGATTGTGCAAAAAAAAAAAAGAAGAATCGGATGTAATAACACATCAATGGTTACTTTCTGAAAGTTCTCATGAGTGTGTCTCACTTACATCCAACACATACTCCTGGATGATGGCGTGCATGATGATGGCCACCAGCATGTAAAAGAAAACGGTAGCCAAGTCCTTGATGCCGTGGTGGAAGTGGTTCACCGCCGTCTCCTCTGGGCCTTCTGAGGAACAGACACATCAGGACCGATTCATTCACATTGTAGATATGAGATACACCTGGTTCATCAAACCCCTTGTGGGAATTTCAAAAACATTTCTTACACTTTAGGCAAGAAATACTCGAGCTTAAATCATCCTAAATCCTGAATGGGTGGAGTTTGGATTAGCGAGTCTCAACTGTGCTCAATTACAACATAGCAAAAAAAAAAAAAGAAAACATATTTAATCATGTTTTATACAAAAACACCTGAAGAAATTAATTAATTGCTAGCACTGACAGAAAAAAATACAGTTTTTTTAATTATCTCCATCTCTGAAAAGATATATTTGTCTAACAGTAGATAGAAGTTGAACACAAGTTCCAGAAACAGCACAGCAGTCATCTTGCAAACCTCGAGCTTGTTGTGCAACTCCGTTTGAATAAATCCTGAGGTTGTGTGTTCTTTCAACAAAAGCGTCTGGAATTGGCAAAGAAACAGCTAACCTTGAAAGAAGCAGGTCTTTGAATTTTGAGGCCTACATTGCACCTCAGCCTAAATTCATCCTGTGCAACCTTGCCACTAGAGAACTTTAGAAATCAGGCAGACTAAATTTAGCTCCAATGAGGAGGGAAGAAAGAAAAAGACAAACTCCTAAATGGGTTTGTCTGAGGCCAAGTAAGTACCACTCTGGAATCCAAATGAGAAGCTTGGAACACAAAAACACTGCAACACACGCGCACACACAGTATTCCACTTACCATTGGATGAGATCGTCACATTGTACTGGACAGTAATGAATATTACTGCAAACTTTGAGGTGACCTGTGGATTACAAGAAGATTGTGACTTAAAAGTGCAACGGTCAAAATCTGAGCGATTAGAAATTATGAGAATGTAAATGTGGTAACAACAGAACATTTTACAGGTATTTCTTGTGCATAAAAATAACTTTAAAATGCTATTTTGCAAATAGCTTTTGTGTTTCAAAAAGAGGAGCAAGTCAAGCTCAACAGGGTGTTTTTTTACCCGAGGTTTCTGAAAAGCCCGTTCTCTTTGGATGTGGTTTTGCTAGATAGGAGGTTTGCACAGTGGGAATCTCATTATTCGTTTTAAAATAGGAGTAAAAAATGATGTGTGGGGAAAACTATAATATTACTTTGTATCAAAACAGACAGTTTTACTAATAATACTGAGGTCTCCTTTAGGAGAAAAGTGCTTTGGGAGAAAAAAAAAACATTACTAGACTATTAATAATAATACTAATAAAAAATGTATGAGATGCTAAAAAGTTGAGCCTATGAGAATTTATGAGATATTGACATACTAAGACACTATTGATACAAAGCCATTAAAAATGCAGTCATAACGAGACACCAAGTCATAAATATGAGAGGCTAACTCATTATATGAGACACTAAGTTATTTTAATGGGACGCCATTGGTGATACGCCAAGTCATCAGTGAAACTAAGTCAACGGCGAGACGCCAAATCATCGAAGCGAGACTAAGACATCAGTGAGAATCCAAGTAATCCGTGAGACTCCAAGATATCTGTGAAACTAAGTCATCAGTGAGACACTAAGTCATCTGTGAAACTAAGTCATTGGTGAGATGCCAGGTCAATGGTGA